GTGAGTGCCGGGGGGACACGGTGGCACCAAGGGTCCCAGTCACATCCTTGGGTGGCACAGGGGTCCCAGTCACATTCCTGGGTGGCACCGGGGTCCCCAAGGACATCACAGGGTGGGGGGCACAGGGGTCCATGAGTACATCCCCCAGGTGACATGAGGGTCCCCAAGCACATTCCTGGGTGGTACAGGGGTCCCTGGATACATCCCTGGGTGGCACAGGGGTCCCCAAGGACATCACAGGGTGGGCACAGGGGTCCATGAGTACATCCCCAGATGACATGAGGGTCCCCAAGCACATCCCAGGGTGGCACAGGGGTCCCAGTCGCATCCCTGGGTGGCACAAGGGTCCTCAAGCACATCCCAGGGTGGCACAAAGGTCCCCGAGCACATCCCAGGGTGGCACAAGGGTCCCCAAGCACATCCCAGGGTGGCACAGGGGTCCATGAATACATCCCCAGGTGACATGAGGGTCCCCAAGCACATGCCAGGGTGGCACAAAGGTCCCCAAACGCATCCCAAGGTGGCACGGGGGTCCCTGAGCACATAGCTGGGTGACACAGTGGGTCCCTGGGTGACACGGTGGGTCCTCAAGCACATCCCTGGGTGGCACGGGGGTCCCTGAGCACACACCTGGGTGACGTGGTGGGTCCCTGGGTGACATGGTGGGTCCCCCATCCCATCCCACCCCACCCCATCCCATCCCATCCCAGGGTGCAGCAGCTCCCCCACGCCGTCCCCCCCGGGAAGGGGTGGTGTGGGTGCGGGTGTGGGTTCCCCCGTCCCCCTCTCTCCGCTCTGCCCCATTACAGGGTACCCCCGGGACTACGCCTGTCACCCGTGTCCCCATCCCACGTCCCGCTGCTCAACGCCACCTGGGGTTTCGGGGGCAACGCCCGCAGCCACCGGTTCCTGTTGGGACTGGTGCGGGCTCTGCCCAGCGCCTGCCTGCTGGGACCCCGCTCCCGCCCCGTCTCCTGGTCCCTGCTGGACCCCCTGGGCTGCCTGAGCCACGGCTACACGTTGCCCGCCTGGCGTGGCCAAGGGCTGAGCGGGGTGACGCTGGGGCGCCACGCCCGCAGCTCCCCCATTTATTTGGGGGTGCTGCCCCAAAACACCCCTTCGCAACGGGCCGTCCGCGCCGTGGGCTTTCTGCCCCAACCCGGCACCTTCTACACCCTGGTGGTCACCCCTCGAGTAGGACCTGGGGAGTGGGGGGCACGGGGGGGG